ACCACGATTACTACGTAGTAGTAGTACCACAATTACAGCTGTAGTATCTCTCCAGCCTTCTGTCCCTATGGGGAAAATGTACTAGGATACACAATCATAGAATCACCTCCACTTCCTCACAGCATCCAATCCAGAGGAAAGCCTCATTTTCCTTGGACTCTGTCCAAAATCACCTAAAGAAGCCCAAATTCTATATAGGCATACCTCATGATGAAGTTTTTGGGTGATGATGGGAGGTTGGAGCTGATGGGCAAGAAAGAGTTCTTGAAGATGTCTTTGGTGCAAAAAGGTGATTTTATTAAAGCACGGGGATTGGACCCGTGGGCAGAAAGAGCTGCACTGGGGGTGTGACGGGTAACTGATTATATATCTTCAGGTTGGGAGGAGGTTAGGGACAGCGTAGATCTCTAAGGAAGGTGCCGGAGGCCAAGCCGGCTCCGGCAGGTCCAGGGGTCCCTGAAGGATGGACGGTGTTGGCGAGAGGGCGAGAGAGAGAGAGAGAGAGAGAGAGAGAGCGAGCGAGCCCCGGAGATTCTTTCTGATCACCAGGCAGGCATCTCTGTCCTGTCGGTTTTTATGTCTTTATTTAAAGGTTCAGCAACAAGATGAAGTCATAGAAAGGAATTTCTTACAATGGGAGGTCTTTTGTGATAACAATAGTAGAATTATTCCGACCAAGGAAATAACAGAATGTTCTTAGTGAAAAATAGGATAACATATAGGTCAAATTGTATATAGATAAGCTAGGAGTATTTTGTCCGGCTCTCAAGAGGATGAATGTTTCTGAATTGGTTTGTTTGTGGAGACTAACATGGGGGCCCTGAATGGGTCAGTCTTTTGCCCCTGGGTTACGTTTTAGCTACTCTTATCTATCCTCATCCCAGCTGCCAGTGTAAGAGAGGGTGTTTGTGGAAAGTAGGCCTTGAGGAAGGGACTGTTATGTTTCACCAATTAGCAAAGATCTATGTGGTAACTATGTTTTGCTCTTAACCCCAAAATAGGCCCTTGGTTTCAGGGCCAGGCTCAGTTGTAATTCTTGTGTTCTTAACCCCCTAAGCCTTGGATCTGCAAGGCCCATAGGAAGAGCCTTTCGACAATCGCCCACAGAGCTTTCATCTAAAATCTCTTTTGTAAAGGCAGGAATATGCTTTTCCTTATGAGGTATCTGTATTCAAAATATGGGTCTGATATGGAATATTGTGAGGCCTGGTCAATACCAGTAGGCTTATATCCAATATGAGCCACTAGTAGCAGAAGGAGATACCAGTTTTCATTTCTCACGGCAGGAGCTACAAACATTGCCATTTCCTTGCTGTGATTGCCATCCAGAGAGGCCGGTGCGGCTCCCGGCAGGAAGGTTTCCAGGCCTTTGAGGGGCTAGCTGCTCGTCAGAAAAATGCTATTTATTACCTTTTGGGAGCCATTCTGAACTCACGAGTTGAGGATACTCCTTGTGAGGTTAAGGCAGGCTTGCCAAGTCTCCTGCCGTCGGGTGGTGACCGATAACTGCCCCTTTTCTTTTCTTTTTAAACATTTTTAATGTTTTATTTATTTCTGAGAGAGAGATAGAGACAGTGTGAGCAGGAGAGGGACAGAGAGAGAGGGAGATATCCGAAGCAAGCTCCAGGCTCTGAGCTAGCTGTCAGCACAGAGCCTGACACGGGGCTCAAACCCACAAACCGTGAGATCATGACCTGAGCTGAAGCCGGACGCTAAATCGACTGAGCCACCCAGGCGCCCTGATAGCTTCCCCTTTTCTTATCATTTCTGCTTGACCACCGTCCCCTGGAGTGCTTTGTTGATTGAGATAAGGAATGGCTCGTCCCCTTGTTCTGGCCCTGGTATGATGATTGCATCTGGTTAGGGACTTGTGATATGGAGAGACCTTAGTGTTCAGTAGCCTGGAAATCATGATTAGAACTAAGTAATTGATAACTTTGAAAGGTCAGATCCCACCCTTAGTTTAAAAATTAATAAAATAATATTCCCATATAGAGTAACACGCTATTCCTGGGCATGGACGACGTTGAAGGAACTATGGGCCCTGTGGCTGATACTAAAACTATCTTCTTCTTGTGAGGTTGTGAGAGCAGACATTGTGTCTCTGGCCAATCCTGTTTTCCTCGAAACTTCCCCTTCAGTTATAAATAGGCTAATGATCCTCACTCATAAAAGATTGACCTTTACTGTACAATTCTGCTTTTTGGTAAAAGGTTTTTCTCAAGGCTATGCTGGAAGCATTGTATACTAAGGCAAATGCTACTTTTCTTGTTCCATGTACCTTCACATATAAATAAAGTTGAGAACGCAGACTGAGAAGAGATGCCTGCCTGGTGATCGGAAAGAATCTCGAGGTTCTCTCGTCACTCTCTCGCTGACACCGTCCATCCTTCAGGGACCCCTGGACCGGCTGGAGTAGGACTCCGACAATTACCGTTTAGTAAAACCTCTGTCATGAGACCCTTCAGATGTATATCAGGGGCCATAAGCTTGGAGTATGATTGCCAGCCTATATCTTGGGGAAGTTGAGATAAAGGAAGTTTCCAAAGGATTTTTATATACTAAAGTAGATCCACAGGATCCTGGGGGGGGGGGGGGG